AACTACGTAACTACTACGTAGTACGTTAAGTACCGTACGTACGTACGTACGTACGTACGTACGTACTACTCTCTCTCTCTCTCTCTCTCTCTCTCTCTCTCTCTCTCTCTCTCTCTCTCTCTCTCTCTCTCTCTCTCTATATATATATATATATATATATATATATATATATATTTGGCTCTCACTACATGCTTTTTCCTTTAAAAGAAGAGAGATGTGAAAAAAGTGCAAGACTTGTATATCATTTCACCGAAATACTATCCTTCGTTATCACTTAGAATGTTAGATCAAATGAATATTTTTAATATATTATTGTAACATGTAATGAGAAGAATCAAGTAAATAATTAAGAATTATTACTGACAAATTTTATTTGAGCAAATTTATCTGGAAGTATAATAAATATAATGTTGATGTTAAAATTTTGCATGTAAATATTCTTTAACAAATTGTAATTAATCTGTTATTTTTAAAAAAAAATTACCCATTTTTAAATATGCACTTTACGGGAACTACCCATGTATGGAAGTCCTAGCAAGCAATGATCCCCCACTCCTGCTCCCACCTCTAAGAACCATAACCTTAACCTTTGCAATTCAAACCTTCTCCGGGGCTTCATTTAATCAAGAAAGGTCCTCACAAATCTCCCATTTAAAATATGTGGATGATAACCTGGCATTAACTGGTCCAGACTACCAAAAAGTTGATCGCTTAAGGTCATTCGTGAAACTGTTCGAGCCATCTGCAGAACTCAAGGTAAGTACGGCTAAGACCAAAATGATAGGGGTATGTGTCAACCAAGATGACTAGCTTTTGTTGGCCAATAGGCTTGGCTGTGAGAGAGAACCCCTCCCATAAAAGTACATTGGCGTACCACTCTGCCTAGGCAAAGCAAGCAAATCAGAATAGAATGCGATAGTGACAATTTTGAGTGGAGATTGGCTGCATAGAAAAATGACATTTTTATCAGTTAAAAGGAAAGATTATGATTATTAATACTATACTATCCAACATCCCAGTCTTCCACATGCCACTGTTTAGGATGCTAGGTCCATTAGAAAGAGGCTGAAGCACCTTTAGAGACTTCTCATGGTCAGGGGAAGAAGGTTAAATAAATTTCACTTGGCAAAGAGGGATCTGATTTGCAAACCTAAAAATTAGGAGGGGCTAGGAATTCGGAGGTTAAGAGTGCAATATGGCCCTCCTCAGCAAGTGGTGGTAGAGATTTGCATCAAAAGTGGTCTTCCGCAGTCCGTTGTTTGAGAGAAATACTGCCCAGTCGACTTGTGCTGGTTCTCAAACTGCCCCACATGTGCTCCAGTGCCCAACTAATGGAGGGGTATATCCACTGTTTATAAGGAGTTCTCCCATAGACCCCGGTTCATGCCAAAGAAGGTGCCCGAATCAGACAGTAGAAGGACCTGTGAGTTAAAAATAGCACCTTTAGCACACCTTTTCGTTCTTTTACTTTTTTTTTGAAGAAGGTTAGCTTTCCTTCGCTTATTCACAATGGCTTAAGATCAAAACACCTCCATTGAGCAATCCTATGAACCACTTGTGGGCCAATTAATTTGGGTCCCGAGTTTTAGAAGAAACCTTTAGGACTCCGAAATCCCAAATTTAGCAGCACTTTTAAACCTTCTCAATAGTAGCAGATATTTTGTCAAAGGAGAAAGAAGGCCATCTGGCCCCTGTAATGAATTGATGCAGTGTAAAGTGTGCCAGTAAATACGTCCAAGGCCTGAATACCCATGTTCCACCCAAAATTCAGACCTTCAACTGGCTGGTTATATCCAAAAACCATTGATTGTCGATCATCCAAAGGAGAGGAAACCTAATCCCTGACTATTGTGTCATGCAGAAGGAAGCAAAGGAGATTACAGAACACTTATTCGTTTATACCCGGTAGCCACCCAGCTGTAGGGCTCTCTGTTGGAGTTTTTGAATGGCAATGGGTATGGCCGACCAGTGTAGGACAGCTACGTACAGCATACTTCTCAGCCCCTTTCCCTTTCTCTAGCTTCTTCCTATGGTGTATTTCCATTATGTCCACAGAATGGTTGACAGGGCTTGAGCGCAATGTGAGAATATTCAAAAGCAGGGAGAGGCATGTAGGCCCCTTGAAAGATAAACAAGTCCACAGTATTTTTAGACCAAAAACTGCAATCACTTCTCAAGGTGGTCCTCCACGGACTTCACATAAAATTGGAGGACTATCTTAGTCACAAGACCACTGGAAGTCAGTAAATCTCACCTGTGGACTCCACCTCCAATAGGGACCATCAAGCTCAAGTTTGAGGAATCACTCTAGGCAATCTGGGTCCTTCGGGTGTCGAAGGCACCTTTCAAACCACTTGGCACTATGCTTATTTTCTTATTCAGGTCCCATTGGAGAGTCAACTCTACAATGGGTAAGGTGGTTGCACTGTTAGAAGCCTCAAACTGGACAGAAGTTGGGTATCCACCCTCAAAAGTGGTAGGCAACTCTCTTAGTGTTATTGGATGCGCCTGGTGTTCGACCAAATCTTTGTTTTTTCCAGCTACATTCAGATGTCCTATAAACAAGCCTGGCGCAAGACAAATGAGGACACCAACGCCCAAAGCTAAGGAATGAGTGGTTGGCACCCATTTTGCAGTGAACAGACATCAGTCCTAAACAGTACCTCTTTTGTATTTCTCTTTTTATGTTTGCCCATCTGCGCATGTTACATTTTTTTTGCTTTTTGACTGTGGGGGCAAAAGAAGCAAAACGTGTTGCTACACTAACCCAAAAGATGCAAATCTCTTTAAAAGCAATACAAAAAGTTACTTTCATCAATAGTAATAAAGAAGAAAAAAACAGCTTTGATGTACCTAAACAAATGGGATAGTTTAAATTAACACTATCACATTGTACATTTGTATTACCTTTACTAACACTGCGCCCCAGGTTATTGTTTGTGCGTAAAGGATCAATGACATTAAAATGCTTAGATACAAAAGGTTGGCTAAGATTTTCTTGGCCACCAGGAATAACAGCATACACTGAACTACAAGCATCAAGGAAGACTTTGTTGAGCAGTAACTCTCCACCATCTTTGCGAGGAGGTTCCACTGCATGACATTTCAAGTCAAAAATCAAAGTTATTAAGATGTCAGTATAAAGCTGAAAATAAGGAAAATATCCAAGGAAGAAATACTTGCATAAATCAATAGGCTTCTCAGAGTCTTAAAATTTTGAAAACAATACCTGAACAGAGCATTTTGAAAAATGAATAGTATACAATCAGTATGATATTTTTACATCTTAAGAAATAGTTTTCTGGTATGTTAGATCTTAACTGAGATAAAATGGTCATTTTCGGAAAAGAAGCCATCCAGGTAATGTTTCAAAATTTCATAATTTTAGAGCACCTGCATGATTTATGCACGTCTTCCAATCAATGTCATGAAATCTGAAAGTTCCTTAAAAAAGTTCGAAGCTGAAATTTCCTTAAAAAGAGTTCGAAGAACTATATATAAAATGCATATGAATACCTGTCATGTCAGGAAGGGAACTAATAGGGACAGGACCCCAGAGACTAACACAAAAGTTGTCCCAGTCAAAGTTACTGAAGAATTCCAAAAAGCGATATAGGACCTATACAAGCATTCCATAAGAAGAACCTTCAAAATGCCAACTTAAAAGAGCATCCAAAAAAACAAATATGAAATTTTTGGATTACCTCCAGAGGCCCAGTGAAGGAATTGTTAAATACATGGAATATATACAAAACCAAGGTCTCAAGAGCATAAGTAGAAATAAGTCCATGATGAGCACCCAATATACGGCTTTCATAGTAGCACCAGGCTTTGATCAATATGATACTACGCTTGAATAAATGATTATGGCCAATCAAATGGTCAACCTACAAGAAGATATATCTTTTGTGAATATAATAAATAAAGGAGCAAACAACTGATAACTATATGGCCAAAATGTTAGCTCGTTTAAGCAAATATTCAGAATTCCATCAGCTCACCTCCTCTAGGAAACAAAGAGTACACAACCCGCCAAGCTGGTTAAAGGATATATCAACCACAATGTTTTCTACAAGACACTTGATAAGTTTCACCTATAGAAAGACATGAAGATAAAAACTCTCAGCATCCAATGTCACTCTCTTCATATAAATGGCACTTATAAGTGTACAAAAATATACACATGGGTTTAGAAACAGACAAATACACATTCAAAATCTCATATAGATCACAAGAAAGAAAGCAACATGAACACAATCATCCTAATTCTCCATCAAGTTAAGGAAACAAAAAATCATTTTTGTATCTTTCAATATATAGCAAATGGAAAGGACATATAGAGTCGCATGGTGAAGGCATGAGAAACAAGACAAAGAGGAACATCAGACTATTGAATGCGAAGGGGAAAGAAAAGAGGGATAATAGAAAAGAACAGCAAGTGATAAGAAGAGAGTATTACAGGAAAAGAAAGAAGCACGAGAATTTAAAAAAGAAACAAGAGAAAGCAAAAGAGAATCTGATCCTCTCTACTACTTCCAGTTTGGTGAGGGTATCTGCAATGTAAGTGACTTCACAGGCCACATGGGACAGGGATAGATAGAAACACCCCTTCCCCTCTCCTGAAATTGTTAAGTCTCCCAGGGTAATCCTTTACCTAAGGGCCCAGTAACCTTGTATTTGAGTTTTAGGCATCTAGCCAATGATTTAGTGCAGATAGTTTAGCTCTGTCTTTAACCATAACAGCATGGGAGCCAATCTCTTTATATATATATATATATATATATATATATATATATACTTATCGTCTGTATCGTAGGTCGTCTACTTACTTACTAACTAACTAGTACGTACTAATAAACTAAACTACGTAAACGTTACGTTACGTACT